TCATTTTCCATGACAAAGGCCACAGAAAAAATATATTTACACACACACACACACACACATACACACACACACACACACACACACATACATGTGTGCTTGTCCTAAAAAAAATGCTACATGATGTATTTCAACATACTCAGCTCCAATCAAAACAATCAATCATCAGCGAATTAAGCAGAGGTGTAGAAGTCAGTGTGTTTTCAAAAGAAGAAACACAAATATGAGAAGGATAAGTTAAGACACTCTGTGGCTGAGATTCCTGCCCAATTCTCCAAGAATTTAGAGAGGAGAGACCGGGAGAAGCAGGAGGGCGTGGGAGTTTATGAAGTTTCGCGCACTAGAAACAACAACGCAATGCCAAACCTTTAAAGCAACACTCTAAGGAAGAACTTGTGACTACACTTTAAGGGGGTGTCTTATTCCCAAGTCTCACAAAATGCCCTAGCTTGGGTGGCACAAACAAACAAACAAACGTGCAATTACTCACCACTCTGAAGGCTAGAAGATCAGAGGTCCACACACCCAGCTCCTGTTTGGGGGCCTTCTTGAGGATTTACTTCTTACTACGCCCTCACAGGGTGCACAGAGAGAGAGAAGAGAGAGGGAGGGAGAGAGAGGGAGAGAGGGAAAGCAAGGGAGGGAGGGAGGAAAAGAAAGGAGGGAGAAAGTCAGAGAATCTCAAATCCCTTCCTCCTTCCCTAAGACCTCAGCCTCCTGACCTCATCCCAGTCTAATCATCTTCTAAAGGCCAACACCTGAATACCATCACGTGATCACCTAAGCGTCTACACCTGCAGGCAGGGAGGAAGCCCAGGCTTTCTGTTTAGAGCTGGAGGACAGCTTGGAAACCTAGATCAAATCCCTATGTTTGGGTGCCTTGTTTCAGTAGCCAACGACATGAATGTGGCATAAGAGACCATCGAAGGCCTGGGCTTCGCCCTAGAGCACACTGAGAAGACATACGCAGTGATGCACGAGGAAGCCCAGGAGAAAAGAAAAGGCCAAGAGAGCAGAGTCTGAGGAAGAGAGAGAAAGGCTGGCTTTGCTGCTGCTGAGTGGTCAGACAAGGTAAAGAACTGGCAAGAGAAGTGCTGGTGACGGCCACAGAGCCACCTCTGCTCTGTAGAAGAGCAGAATGACTCGCTGAAGTGCCGGTGGACTGAACGTGAACCAAGGGATAAGAAGATGTGTGAACCACAGGTTTTCAAGCATTTTCTTTTCTGTAATAGAAGCAGCAGGATGGGAGGAGGACTTTAAGGGACCTATGGAATCAAACTATTTCTTTTTGCTTTTCTCTTTAGGGTGGGATCTGATTAACCGTGCTGGACAGGCGTGGAGATAAACAAGTGGGTGGGCAGAGAATTCTGTTGTTAGAAATAGAAATGATCATTGAGACAGATTCTATGGTCTAGAACAGAAAGAAAATACTCTTGTGGGGAGCAGGATCTCATCATTGCTATAATCATATAGCACTTCTGTGGTTGTCAGAGCTCTAGATAAGCACCGAGGATCGTACAGCCATGTAAAAATTTAAGAACATTTTGGGGCATTTTAATTTTCAAGCCATACCTAGAGTCCACAGCCTCATGACGTTAGGAGTCTCATTCTCTGCAGCCTCTTCATAAATGTGCATTGGTACCTGCGCACGAGTCCACCATTCTCTTCTGTGTCAGTCAGCTCCTGGCATTGGGTTAGAAGGAGTTCTTGCAGGTCTGTCCGGGACACCTTGGTGGAGTGCTGGCCTAAGGCACACCACAGGTGGGCATGTCCCAGTGCTACCGGTGCATCTTGAGATCACACCTGACTTACAGTTCGAGTTTGCTTATGTAGGGGATGGGCAAGTGGCTCTTCTATACCTGGATTATATCAAGAGATGCTCAGGCCCTAGACACATACATTTCTTTTCTTACAGAAAGCAGCCCTGGCGATGGGTGCCATCTAACCTGAGGGAAAGCATGGAGAGAGCTGATCTGACCACTTTTCCTCATCGTTAGAATTTGCTTTGCTCTTCCTTGGCCTTCTGGTGTATTCATCTTGTATGCATCATCTGAGACCTTTCCCAGTTCTGTTTATGGATCTTAAGTGTTCTTATAAGGACTAAGAACGTTTCTCTCTGTGTGCATGTGATCTGGAAAGTCTGCCCACTGCTAGGCACTCACAACTTGGAGTAAATACTTTCAAATTTAATATGAGTTTATAAAAATATGGAAATACAAAAGGTATCAAATTCAAAGTGCTAATCAATCCGTTTTCCAGGCTCTGTTCTCCACAGGTGACAACGGCACAAACCCTCTTGGCTCTCGGCACAATTCACCTTTGCATAAACAAATGACAGATAAAAGCCCAGAACACACGAAGTTCACACAATTTGTTTTTTAAAATGTAACCATACACCTGGAATAATTTTCTACATTGGTTCTTAGATGTATCACTAAGGGTGGAAATTACAGAAAGGGGTCAGACACAGGCTTTTTTTTTTAGTTTGCCTTTGACCATTGCAATTTTGGTCACAGATTCTATCATTTTCTACAAAGAAAATGTTTTCCAAAGAAAACTGACTCTCTTCCCTTGTTATGGCTACTAACTTTGAAATAAAAGACAGAGCAATAATAATAAATTAGATTATTTCAGGTTGAACTAAAATATGGCCAAAAATTCCACTGAATTCCAGTGAATCTTAGAAAGCAAACCTGTACCTCAGAACAAACCATCTTTGAACAACCTATTCTTTTCTTGCATTGTTCCAAGCAAAGATAGATTAAGTTAGTTACTTATTTAAAAAACACAATGATTGTAAAAGCCAAATGTATTTGTAAACATTCAAATCTCTGGGTCTTATCACTCACAACTTATTTAACTATATGCACAATATTTTATTCATTTTTAAATTTACATTCTGGAAATGTGACTTGCCTCTCAAATGCATGTGTAATTGGTCACAGTGCTATAATGTAGGTTGAAATTGTCTTACATTCAGTAGTGTTTAATTTCTTCTGCTTATGGCTTTTTAAAAATTGATGCTAAACACATTGCAAATTCCGGAAGCAAAAGATGGAATAAATGCATGAATTTAAAATGACACAATTAATTAAAATTCTTCACTATTATGACATATCCAGTTTCATAGAAGGTGGGTTGAATAATATTTGCATGTGATTTCCATTCCATTTCTCCATACTCATTTTCGCATCTCAATGTACAGCGATTACATATATTTGCAGCCAGACGGTTAGAGGGAAGGGATTCATCGCAGTAAATAATCACTGAAAAGGAGGGGCCTGGAGAGAACTGGAATAATGATTGGTTCCCTGGTCCGTTACTTAGGCAAGCAGCTCACACGATGCACCTTGATCAGACAGGTTCAGTCTGGAATCCTCCCTGGTCACAGTGCCAAGAGCATAGAAAGAGGGTCTGAACTACACTGACTTCTCTCTCCATTTTGATACCCACAAATATTTGTACACATTTTTATCTTTATTTATTTGACAAATAAGACTCAGGTTTATCACACATGACATGGTATTTTGAAAAATGTATATGATGTACTACGATGCCATCAAGCTAACTAACATGTGAATCATCACACATACATAGTTTTCTGTTTGTTTGGGTTTTGTTCTGTTTTTTTTTTTTTGGTGGGGAGAGTCCTTAAAATCTACAAACAAACATTTTTTTGGACTTTCCTGGAGTGTCAGTATCCTCAGTCCCTTGGGAAGAAAGTTCATCATATACAGAAATGAGAGACTCTGAAATAACATTTTTCAATTATTAGTTTTTCCTATCAGCTCAGGTTAGGTGGAGTGAGACTCACTTTTCAACCCAGGTTCCGTGGATGATGGCTTTCTGACAGGATAGGTTCTAACGTCTAGACTTCAAAACCTCAGCCACAGAAGAGGGCATTTTCTTCCTCTCTTCCAACTCAACAATAGGGCAGTCCTGTAGCCTTGCAGACATTCAGAAATCCTGACTTCCATATTGGTAAATCTGAGAACTAATTTGTTTTTCTGGAAAACTCTCCTCTACCCTGCTGTTTTTGCTCTGTACTGAGAGAAGAAAGAGTTCTGTGTACCAAGCCAAGGAAACAGTCAAGGTGACTGAAGTATTGTGTTTGAGTGGGTAGTCTCTGTGTAAATGTACGAATGAGGTAAAACCACCTTTCTATGGGTACTCCACGTATCAGTAGCACAACAGTTCATCCTTTTCTCTCTCATCTCTTCTCCCCCACTCAGTCTAGAGGGAGGGGCCAGTACCATCTTTCCTTTCTCTTTTCTGAGCACGTCTCTCTGTACACGGTCTCCTAAGGAAGTTAGCTGTTCAGATAGAGGAATAGCAGATAACCTACCTGACCACACGATTATCTTTCTGCTCCCAGTACAATTTTTCTCCCAGTTGTAGTTTCCACCCAGCTTCTAAGAGAAAGAATGACTGGAAACTATCATTGTGGTTTATGGACAATTTTTCTTCCCCTAACAGTATTTTTATATCTTTGTCTTTAACCAAAATCTCAGCACAGCCCATGAGAATCAACTGTAGCTCGGGAGAGCTGTTGGAGATTCCTCCATAGACAAGCCCCCAAGCATGGCAGGGGTCATTAATAATTGGTCCTGGTATAAGTCAGGTTTACACACCCAAGGTGGCAAAACGAGAATATTCTTGCTCTACATGAAAGCCAAGTAAAAAATGAAAAGTGGGCTGGGTGCTGGTGGCTCACGCCTGTCATCCTAACTACGCAGGAGGCTGAGATCTGAGGATCACAGTTCAAAGCCAGGAAAGTCCGTGCAACTCTTATCTCCAATAAACCACTAGAACACCAGAAGCGGCGCTGAGGCTCAAGTGGTAGAGCGCTTGCCTTGAGCTGAAGAGTGTAGGGACAGCACCCAGGCCCAGAGTTCAAGCCCCACAACCAACCAAAAAAAAAGAAAAGTGTTTCAGAACTCACTTGTCAGATGAGTGAGCTGTGTCTCACACACACACACACGCAGACTACATGCTCTGACACATTCAGTCTACAAGCATTTATTTATAAGGCTTCCATTCCTCCAGTGGGGGAAGGGCTTCCAGTCCAACGTCCTCATTCAGGGTCATCCACAGGGGCCAGGCCTCAGCTGCCCTGCTGGACACCGGCAGAATCTGTGCTCCTGCTCTCGGTGCCCCGCCCCAGCTGGCTCGCAGCTGCTGCCTGGCTGCCCGGAGGCCGGCCGCTCCCCCTCCGTCCCACCTGTGTGGCCCAGGCACAGCACGCCTTCTTCTCTTGGGAAAGACCCAAGCTGCTTCTCTCCTGGCTCCCACGACTCGGCCCCGGCCACAACCACCTGTCCTGTCTGCGCTCAGGGCATCGTAAGAGAAGCAGCTGATCTCGGCCTGCCAGCTGGTATCTGGGCAACTGCTGCTGCACTTCCTTCCAGTCCCGGGTCATCTGCTGGGCGCCCCTGGGAGGGGCGTCCGGTCACCCTGGGGGCCGGCACGGTGGCCTCGACTTCCCGAGCAGGATCCTGGCCCACCTTCCTTCTGGACACCCCATCCAGGGACCGGGGAAGGCAGTGGTTTGGGGCCGCCTTCAGCCTCAGGTCTGTGAAGAGAGACACAGAGGGAAGCATGCAGCCATCTTGCAGCCCGAGGAGTTCACATCGCACACTTTAGCATTCCCAACAGTACAACACCACATAATCAAAGACTGAACCGCTCCAAACACTTCCATAATAATCAAGTGATCGAAGATTGAATGGTATCTGCCTTTCGATTTCCAAATGTCTTCAGAAATGCTTTCCCTAAAAATAAAGTTTTGTATCTCATATCCAATTTACAATTAATACTGACTATCCAAAAAGCTGGATAATGCTACTTTTTAGAAAAACTCCCACCCCTACATTAAGAAATGTGAATTATAAAAACCAGACTTTGTTCAAAAAGAAATGTACTCTTTACCTGATTTCTCTTTTACCCCTCTGTGCATCATCTTTATAATAACAATAAAGAAAAGACTTTTCAAAACAGTTTTAGCCAATATTTTGGCTTTTAGGGACTAAGTTACAATATAAATAGCATGGAGTTTATCAAACATGAATATGAACATATGTACAGATAAAAGAAATATACAAATAAGCACTTATCTACATGCATGCATGAAGATCTATTGGATTTGAATGATAAAATTAGGGTTCCTGTTCTCTTTTGCCTGTTGTGTGACTTTCATTTTGTCACTTAGAATCTATAGTTTCTTGTATAATTTTATAATGTTCTCATATGTTACTTAATTTTCTGACATGTGGTTCATTTTAATCATCTTGTTTTACTTATTGTTTGGTTGCCTGGATATTGCACTGTATTTTATTTTCCAGTTAGAGCTGAAAATAAACTCAGAAGAGTGCAATATTGGGAAGCTTAGCATCTAGACATTTTTGTCCTCACATTCTTTGGAGATTATATTATATATAAGCATTTAATAATGTGATCACACCACATGTAAAGTGTTAACTAGCTTCTCAGTGTGGAGTGGGCATATAAGTAAAAAGAAATCAGATTTTACTGACCCAGTAGTCAGGCTTACAGCCTTCAAATTGTTAAATATGTAAATATGGTCCCCCAAAGCTACACAACATAGTACAGACCTAGAATCAAAGGCACGGGTTAAGTCTCTTACTTGGTCTGTTCCTTGCTGAATAAATGTATAAATTACACCTAATCACACTGTCCCTCTAGTTCCCCATGTGTCAAATGGTAACCATGTTAAATATCTCCCTCACAGGTTGTTTGGAGGGTAAATAAGATAAAGAAACAGGCCAAGGACCGCCAAGAACCTACAACATGAAGAAGACAATGACGACCATGCGTGACACCACCATCATTGCCAGCATCCATCATATTGCTGATGCTGACTTCACATCCCTACCTGCCATGCACACACTGAAGTTGATGCAACCAATGGCTGGAATTGTTTACTACTGTCCTCACGTTATCAGCAGACAAATAAACTTAAAGCTGGATGTGTTGGCACAAGCCTGTATGTAGTCCCAGCTACAGGAGGCTGAGTTGGGAGACTGTCTTACACTCAGGAGATGGCGGCCAGCTTGGACAACAACTGAGACCCTATCCTAAAAATTAAAAATAAATACAGAAATACATACCCTAGTTTAATCAGACACGATCTGGCTCAACCACTTAACATAATTATTAAATCACATCTATAGGCATATATGTATACGTATTCAACTCATCCCTGAGGAAGAATTAATGGATGGATTTGGGAGGGTGCAAATCATATTGAGTGTGGTGTGGCCAGGCTCAGAAAGACAAAGGATGCATTCTTTCCATATGCAGATGTTGGACCTAAAATATAAACATATGTAAACATGTACAGGATTCTATGCGTGTCTACGTGATCCAGATGGCTAAAGTATTCAAATACGGTAGACACAGGAATGAGACCCCATCGCATAACCCCTTTGAACCATTAAAAGGCAGCTTAACAAAATAAATACACAGAAGCTGAAATGGGTCTTGACTATGGAGTGGGGACTAATGGGCAGGGTGGACAAGTGGACAGCATGGAGGGTGAGGACAGCCATCATTCTCAGTATAGACAGGGACAGGAGAGCTCCACTACAGAACCCAGAGAGACAGGCAGAGGAAGCCATGGCAGGTGGGGAGTGGGGGAGGAGACGCACAGTGCCCATCATGGGATGGATTAGATGGAAATTCCCCCGAACGAGGATTTGAAGATAAACGGGAAAGAATGAAGGTAATGGAGTTCTACGATCACACCAAAAGCAGGAAGGTCTCTTATTGACTTGATGGAACTCAAGGTGTGACATTGAACACTGCAAAGGGGAACTAATGAACGGCTGGATGGATGGAGGAGTGTGTCCTGTCAAGCACTGTCTTATCTTCCTTGTGCCTTACTGTGGTTTTCTTGTCATTTTTTTAGAAGAGGAAACCAGGCATCAGGGGCTCCCGCCTCAGGAGGCTGAGATCTGAGGATGAAGGTTCAAAGACAGGCACATAAATCCATGAGACTCTTCACTCCAATGGAGCAACAAATCTGGAACGCGGGAGTGGGAGGCCTCGCGCTCAACCCAGTACTGGCTCCAGAAGACGAGAAAGCGGTTGAAATCTGCCATGACATTTGGGAGGAAAGTGGTACGGAATTCAACAATTTCCACTTGGATTTCATCTAGCACTGGGTAGCCGAGGTGAGCAGCCATTGTGTCTGTGCCGGCCTCTGAATTCAGAGCAGAAGACACAGATAAACCAGCCAGGCCATTTAGAGTGTGTGCCCAACGTATGAATTAATATCTGGACAAAGCCATGCTGATCCTTTCTCCTCTCTCCCTTCCCACAATTCTCTGACCTGGCATGTCCCAGCCACAGCGTGGGATGACTCTGGCTCAGCGCTGGAAGAACTTTCCAGTTACCCGAGTTTTCCTGTAGGATGGGCGATTCCTTGCAGAAGCGTCTCTTGACAGCTCAACGGCATTGATTTGTGCCTGGATACTGGGCCTGAGCAGCTACTCTGTCATTGGTCCTTTAGTCATGAGTGACAGCCTCATTTTCCGCTCAGGACTCAGAATGCCTTCAGGGAAAGAACTACTTTGTGCGTGTGACCTTTCCTCTTCATTCTACATTGTCCTGTGCCCAACACTGACCTTGGTACCATCTCCACAATAACTACTCTCACCGGGAAGAAAAGGCACAGTTTATCGGCACCAGCAAATACATTTTCAGAGAGAAGGAAACTTTTCAAAGGACCAAAAGAAAATGGCTTTGAATTTTAATCTCCTGGTAAAACCAACAGCATTTCATGTGACAGGCCTCAAACGGTCCAGATCACCATCTGCCATTCATTGACGATAGTGATGTCCAGCTTGGGAGAGGCCTTCACTGGAAATCTCACTCCTTCCTTCCCAGTCCGCCTCTATTCTCAAGGGACAAACGGAGGCCTGGCTCTCTTTCAAAGACCCCCCTTCCTAAATACTTTTAAGCCACCCATAAATTATGTGCACGGGAGCTCCCGCCAGCCACGCACATGACAGAGTCCCCAGCTGCAATGCCAGCTCCCTGCGGAAGGTGCCGGGCAGGCAGTCACCCCGCTGAGGGGCTGTAGACAGAACTAAGTCAGCACACGTTACGTGTCAGCGCCAACATCAGAAGGAACTGGCGCCTTTGATCTCAGACCTCCACAGGAAGCTCAGATCTCAGACAAATTGGATAAAAAATGAATTGATCGCCGATACCCATCCGAAGGCGCTCAGTGGCGCATATGAGTTTCAGGAAAGGAAAGGATGTGTTGTGTGATCACACAGGAATTCGCAGGCCTCCTCTCACCTCCTTGGTGGCTCCCAGAACACGGGAACTCCATCTCTCCACCACCCCTGGGCCAGGCTTCTTAGAGTCAGTCTGGTTGGTGGGCTTCATGGAGTGTCAGTGAATGGGATACAGCATGGAGAACAGACCCCTTCTGTGTCTAAAGGAGGGCTCACTGGTGCGGCCCCACGCCAAGGCTCCTCCAGTCAGTCAGCCGCCACTTTCCACTTCTCCATAAACCCCTAGGTGTTCCAAAACCTTCAGCAACAGCACGTGCGTGCCAATTTTTAATAAACATATCTGTCATTTTTAATAAGCATTTCTCAGTTTGTTTATATGCCTATTTGCCAACCCAACAGTTACAACAATTAGACAAGGATAAAAGGAAAGAAAATCTTTTTTTGTCTTCTTTGTTTTTTTTCCTTCCCTGGGACTTGAACTCTGGGCCTAAGCACTGTCCCTGAGCTTTTGTGCTCAAGGCTAGTGCTCGACCATTTGAACCACAGCTCCACTTCTGGCTTTTGAAGGTGAACTGGAGATAGGATTCCCACTGACTTTCCTTCCAGAGCTGGCTTCAAACCATAATCCTCAGATCTCAGCCTACTGAGCATCTAGGATTACAGCTGGAGCCTGGCCAGAAAATCTTATTTTTGATTTCTCATCTTGTGCCATGAATGATCTGCATTTTCTTGTGGGTTTTTTTCTGACACTTTATGGATATGTTTTGGTCAACCTCATTTAGTTCATTTGTGTACCTGGAATCCATTCATTAATGTTCCAAATACTCACATTTACTAGCTCCATATATGTTCTTTTTCTCTAATGTATTAAATTATAAATAAATATAATTTAATATATAATATAGTAATATATTATATATACAGTTTTCAATGGTGTACCCATAAATTCCTGTGCCAGTATCACAATGTCTAAAGAATAGTGACAAATACTATCATTCTGCTGGAACTACACATTCCCACTACCATAAAAGCAATTGAATCAATTTATTCTAGAAGATTGTCTTTCTATCATTGGTCTGTTCTTCCTAAGGAACTTTTCAAATCATCATGCCATTTTAAACTATAGAAAATTATTGAAACTGCATTAATATCAAGTTCATTTGGGGATACTAAGATCTCTGACATATTAGTAAGTTTAATTACAAATATAATTTCCTTTATATGCAGGTCTTCTTTTATTCAGTAAAATATAGCTCATATTATGGGTCTAATATGTCTCTAACATTTTTTCATGATTGCACTCCCTTTGCCACTACTGTATTGTCTATTTCATGATATTTCCTAACTATACACTAGTTTATCTGTCTAGTTTCTGTTACTAAAATTAAATACCTCAGGCAGGCTAACTTTAAAAAGAAGTTTGTTTAACACTTATAATATATTACCTTTTGTAGTCTGACAATATGTTTTAACAAGTTATTCAAGTAGTTAGAAATTATAGTCATTAATAGTTGATTTTTTTTTTGGTCGGTTGTGGGGCCTGAACTCTGGTCTGGGCGCTGTCCCTCTGCTCTTCAGTTCAAGGCTAGAGCTCTACCACTTGAGCCACGGCACCACTTCTGGCTTTTTCTGCTTATTTGAGTGCAGATTAATGAAACCCAGGGCCTCATGCATGCAAGGCAAGCACACTACCACTGAGCTACCTTCCCTGCCCCAATAGTTGAAATTTTTATGTTATTAGGGAATTCCCACATCTACAAATGATTACCAGACTTGTCATTTTAATTTTGTTTTGTATCTGGTTTCATTCCTTATTATAAAACGAGTTATGAAATCTTAAGAATGAATTATGTGTTTTGACTTTATTTGAGCAGGACAAATTTCTTAAATAGCATGTGATATATATATATATATATATGACATATATATATATATGTGCTATTTATTAATGATTTCCAAATTTAGATCTATTTCCCTGGGAGCCTGGAAAAAAATCTCAGCTGTCTGGCACTTCCCTGCTTCTAAATATCTTATTGCCATCCCTCTCCAACCATGTCCCTGGCATTCTTGTAGATTTATACATAAGAAAGGCAAATTTGCAGGTGGTCCTTTTAGCTGTATGTGCATGGAACACATCATGTAGTCAATAGGCTCTAATGTAGTAGAGATTTTTTTAAAAACCACCCTGGAGTTGGTGGTCATGGCCACATGGACACAGCGGCCCATCTTTTGGTATCCCAGTCTGCCAACACTGGGTACACAGATTCCACAAAGAAACAAGGGAAGCCACAAGACAAGGGTTTGGGGAAGGCATCTCTAAGATCTGAGGAGTGTCTGTCTTGCAAAGATAAGGGAGGAGACTGGCCAGGGGACAGGCACCTGCTAACACCACCCATCGTCCATCAGAAGGACCCAAACCATGTGCACAATAATTTCTGCTGTCAATTGAGACCCCCATAAACACTTGATGACATTTTTTTAAAGAATGGGAAGTGTTTTGTTCTTTTTCCCTTTTTCCCAGCAGTTGTAAGAGGGGTTGGAATCCGAGGATCTTTAAAAATGGAATGGAGAGAAAAAAAAATCCTTTTTTCTCGATCTTGCTCATTCCCTTCATCGAAACTGCCTGTGGTTTTATCTCATAAACCGCCATGGTGAGAGATGTACCAAGATTAGAGAAGATACACAATCTATACCAAAGGAAAAGATGAACACAGTAGCTATATGACACACAAAAGTGTTAAGTAAACATGAGAAGAGTGTTGTAAATGTTGATTTGAGGGAAAGACTTCTAGATCAGGGAATAAGAAAAGGTGTTTAATCTGGGGTTGGGAGGAATGGACAGGCTAGATATCCGAGTTGATATGGAGAATCGCATGCTGAAAAAGGGAGCCTGTTTTGTATGCAGAGAACACTATCCTGGAGGGAAAAGAGACAGGGATGGGAGGAATAGACCCTGGCCAGCGGGGTATTACATGTGATTATAGTCATAGTAGGGCACCAGTGGCTCATGCCTGTAATTCTAGCTACTCAGGGCGCTGAGCTCCAAGGATCACCCATAGGTCCTTCAACTCCTTACTAGTAGACTAAGTGTGGTATTTTCACTAAACAGGAACTCAGAGCCACTAAAGCTTGAGTTCATTTTCAAGCAGAAAATACAATGATAGGCTTAGAAGAGAAATAGAAATATCCTGCTGTTCATGACATACGTTTTCATTTATTTCAGGGAATGATAGGAGTAGCTTTCCCACGCGTGCTCTCTCTCTCTCTCTCTCTCTCTCTCTCTCTCTCTCTCTCTCTATATATATATATATATATATATATATATATATATATACACACACACACGTACACATACACTTGGCAAAGTCATCTTGTTTTCTGGTTGTGGCCTATTTTATACATCCTCAGTAAGACAAAGGCAAAGCATTGATCTGAGGCAAATGCTTATCTTTTCTCTACTTCAGACAGATCCCAACAGCAAGTTATCCATATAACAAGTAAAATCACCCAGCACGATGCACAATATAAGAAAACTATACACTTATTCTAAAAGTACAACTAAAACAAAGCAGAGTTCAGCCAAGCTGACTCCTTTCTTGAGGGATTGATACTAAATCTAATCTACATAGCAGGTATTTGGCAACCAGGCTCTCTGCTTTCCCCAGTTCAATAACATTGCCAAACTGGCAACTTTGCTATATATAGCTAAGGGAAAAATGATATGCCTATATGCTGCTTTTCCCTGTCCTCTGTGAAACAAACTCAAGTGTTAAACCAGTAAGAGTCTACCAAGAAAAATAGATAAAAGCCAAGTCAAATAAGTGACTACTAGTTAAATGAATTGGGTGAGCCAGTCTTCCTGTACTGGGGTACAGCGTCCTTGGGGAAAAGCAGCAAAGCTTGAGGAGGGGCTGTAAGGTATATTGCTCCAGGGGAGACAGCTCACCCACAGGGGCCCTGCTAGCTCACCTTCTCCCACCACCACGCAGTCCTTTGCCGTCCCTTCTTGCGATCCTTGGCGCCTGGCTGAGACCCGGATATGATGGGCTGAATCATTCATCTGAGATTCGGGCGTCTCTTCCGGCTTTGTTTCTGCATCAATGAAAGCAAACTGCTGTTGTTGCTTCCAATGAAAAGAACAGTTTTGTTCATAACTGGGCACTAAGGCTTAAGACGTTTGCCGGGTAAAATTCTCCCCCACCATGTGATCTACGTGAAGCCAAATGTATAGAACTTATGGTGTGCTTAAGAAACAAACTTCCCTGCCCCCACTGGCATAGTGGCATAGCAATTTACTGTCCAAAATGCAGAGGGGGAGAAGGGGAGAATACAGTCAAGAATTCAATGTATCGCCTACAAAATTAAGAAGAGCAAGGAGCAGATAGGGGAGGGATGAGTGAGAATTATGAAAGGCATTGTATTCATAAACTGCTCTGTTAAATGGCAGCTCCTTTGCACAACTACTTAAAGTAACATATAAATAAATGGAAAAACTTTATTGTCCAATATAATAGTGACCACATGTGCTATTGAGCACTTGAAATGTGACTAGGTTTATTTTTTAAGAGTAAAACGCACATGAGGGGAAATGTCTGCATATATATATATATATATATATATATATATATGACATTTAACACATATATATTTTATGTGTGTGTATATATACAGATACACACTACACACACACACACACACACACACACACACACACACATAATTAATTAGGATAAATGTCCCCTGGACAAATACTACATGCCTCACATTTACAGCATGTTCTATTTCTCTTGGACTAAGCTCATTAACCTCCTGGTAGTGTTTTTTTCATCTTTTCAGTTGAAATAGTCACATATTTAAAGGAAGTGTAGAAGGAGGGCATGTGAGTTTTCACCAAGCCCTCTCGACTGCAGTGTCTCCTGGAAATCCCAGATGGAAGGGGTGCCGTGCTGCACGGGGTCTGAGCTGGGAGAAACTTCCGGAGAAGAGGGGGCACCGTGGTAACTTGGGGCACACAGGGGACATTACTGGGGGCTGCTGGAAACTTCCACAGGTGGAGCCCTTGGGGTGTGGCCTCCACGCGCTCTTATTGTGCAGGAGGCTGACCTCAGCTCTGCGATATTCATCGAGCAACTACGCTCCACTCTCCAGCGGGAAAGTTCATAAAATGTCTTTCTTTGGAAGAAAGAAAGTAATCATTGACACATTTGCACATGATTTTAAAGATACGTTTACTCAAAAGAAAATCGCGTACTTCTGCTTCTACTTCTCTTGAACCAGCAGCACAGCAGACAGCACAGAGCCAGCCAGGAGACGACAGCACACAGCACGGCGGCCAGAGCCACGGCGGACTGCTCCTTCCCCGGCACCCGCAGCACAGCAAAGGGCCCGGACCGGGCTGTAAAGTTGACTCCTGGTTAAAAGAAACCAGTTTGCATCGTGCTTTAAGGAATACTAAGACGCTAATAACATATACTGAAACTACTGTGGAAAAGGCCTGCTTCCAGCAGTGCCTGGCAGATAACAAACACTTAGTGAGTGTTTAGTGAATTAATATTACACTTCTTGGGATATTCCTTGTGCATGTGAAAATAGCGCCCAGTGGCTTTTGGAGGGACGGGTGGGGTTGGGGGAGACGAAGGTGGAGGGTGATGGGAGAGGCGACCCTGCTCATTGATGGAGGTGCACTGCACACACAAAGTGATAAGTTAAGGTGACACTCTGTGCAACTGCTTAAAGATAAGTTTTAGGGCTGGGAAGGTGGCTCAGTGGTAGAGCACTTGCCTTGCATGCCTGAGGCCCTGGGTTTGATTCCTCAGCACCACATAAGCAAAAAGAAAAAAGCCGGAAGTGGCGCTGTGGTTCAAGTGGTAGAGCGCTAGCCTTGAGCTGAAGAGCTGAGGGACAGCGCCCAGGCCCAGAGTTCAGGCCCCACGACCAGACCCAAAAAAAAAAAAAAAGATAAGTTTTAAAACATTCAAAAGGAATCAAGAGCCAGGCACTCATGTCTGTAATCCCAGCTATTCGGGAAGCTGAGGTCTAGAAGATCACTTTTCAAAGCCAGACCAGGGAGCTGAGCAAACTCCCAAACAAGTGCCGGCCCCTAGGACTGGCAGGAAAATAAAATACAATGTTAAATCACAATTTATATCCCTGAAGAACAGTAACAACACAAAACTTTACACCCAACATCCAACTGTGCTTCTAAATCACGAGGATGATACTAGGTATGCATTATCATGATATTCCTCAATATCCCAAGACTTTCCTATAATTTAAAGTATCCTGATAAATCCCTAACTAAATGTGATAGGAATAAACAGAGAAGCAGCAAGTGGAACACACAAAGTAAAACTTTAACATCTAGAGGAAAGTGTACATTTTGCATTCTTGTTCTCTGTGAGTCTCTAGAGACTTAATTTCTACACGTGCTCTTTCTTCTCATGCTTTAATGATAATACCAGGTGAATTTTGTTCCCCTGTACTAGGATGGCTTCTTATTCATGAAAGGAGTTTTTCCCATTATAAAGGAGAAAGGGTAACTTTTTCAAAAGAAGCAGGTATAAAAGCAAACTGTGCTGCAATTACCTGCAGGAGACGTCACAGTGAAAATAAAGTGCCAGCTTGACCCAGAGACCAACACTGCCAAGTCAGAGAAGCTCACGTAGCCATCTTGAGTTTCTGCCTGAGTACACCCTATAAAACACACACACACACACACACATACACACACAAACAAAAGATGGATGCTGGTTATCTATTCGAGAGCAACACCACCTCTTCAAGTCTTCTGTGAAGATGGGAAAATAGACAATAAAGCAAAATGCTTTGAAAATTAATGGGGTTATCTAACCCATCAAGTTCATCTCAGACACGTCTTGGAACCAAATAATTCCAAATAGACTTATACCATGGCCATCTACTGAAAGCTTAACGTGCCAGACACTCTGTCATCTGTATCATCGTATACTATACAATAACTCTATAAAATATGCCATTATCAATATTCTTATGTTTCTTTACAAGTTAATTGGTGCTAGCATTACAGCCCAAATTGATTTGATTTTCAAAGTTTGTGTTCTTAACCACTACTATATAGTGACTATTTGTTATTTAAAAAAAAAAAATCTATCAAAGCAAAGCCTGTGGATCAGGGAAATGTACAAGGGCCTGGGTTCAATCCCTGGAATCACCAAATACGATCTAGTGAAACACAAATGATGTTAGTTTCCTAAGGGATTCATACTTTCCTTTATTCGGGGGGGGGGGGGGGTGTCTGTATTTATGCAGTAGAATGAAGTTAGGCCAACCCAGGGAGACAGCAACTTATCAAGAAATCATGACTGATTTCTTTGCTATCATAACTTGGACTGCCTTGAGCCTCAGTTTCCCCGAATCAAATGCAAAACAGAAACCTCACACTTCCTAACAATCAACCATCAGTGTGTAGAAAGGAAATGACATAGGAGCCAATTCCCAATATCCTAAATTGTCTTCTGACTGGACTTCCCCTAAATTACTTTGCTCATTAACAGCTGCTACCCTCTGCTCTAGAGCTGTCCCGTTGGTCACAATGGCAGACAAGGAGTGGGAAGAGGGGTATTTTAAAGTTTGTAAACTACTCTGAGATCTCCAAGACTGAAAAGGATGGTAGAGACGTAATATGCTTAGTGTGACATTTTTCAATTCAATTGCTTCATCCTTTTGTATAAAAGGATGTCTTTGCTCATCAATTTTGCAGCGCTAAGGAAAAAGTTTCTTTTCTGGAGACATCTTTTCTTTGATCTATTCAGAGTCCCAAGATAAATAAAATGCCCAGAAAAAATTGAAATAAATAAGCCAAGAGACTCAAATAAATGGTAGGCGCTCAAGATAAATGCAGTTTATGTTCTTAAAAACCTATATGCATCAAAATTATGGTCAATAAACTCTTGCAAACAACGAACTGCCGCGTACAGATGTTCGACACAAAATCGTTTGCTGCGGTTTTTCCTTTGACAAACGTCCTTATTGCCCCCATCTTTACAAGAATACAAAGCAGCATTTAATCGCAGCCTGTCCGCCCAGCCCAGGGAGTCTGCCTCACAGAACAGCCGCCAAACTGCCTAATGGAAAGTGCTTCCGCACCAAATGGGTTTGCGTTTGCGTTAAATACCAGCTTGCCTTAGAGATCTCCACGAAGATTCTCATATAGATCTATGATATTCTCAGATTTGAAGCATATGTGCCCCAAAGCAGAAGCAGTGGCTGCCAAGGAGAGCACAAAAAAAAAAAAAAAGACTACAGGGCCCATCAAATGTTTGGAAATTGCTTTTATAAAATATACAAATGCCCTTGCCAGGCTGTGTGATCAAGCTGGTTTTATAAAAAGGTACAGGTAGAGGGCATTTGGGATTAGATCGGGGTGGGTTGAAATGAATTACCTGGCTACCAGGAAACGCCTGGATATAATTCTGTAGAGTCTATGGCTCCTAAAATACCAGTGCTTTTCTACAAGTAACAATTCATGCCAATCAACCATTATATCATTGTTGTTGAGGTACTCTCTTTAAAAACATATTTTCTGCAATCATGACCTACAATCAAATGTCTGACTCTCTGGAGGACCCTTAAGTGATTGTCTTGGGTGTATAAATCTACTTTTATGGTAACAACATCTTTTCTCATTGCGGAGTCTACTGCAGGAAAAGAAAAAGAACTTCAGATTAAATTTCAGACTAAAAGATTTGGATGAGACATATAGAAATAGTTCTGCAGTTGTTCTCATTCTTTTGTCCAGGAGATCCTTAGTCATTCCAAATAACTTTGTTTCTATTCTTTGTCAAGTGAAAGAGAAATATTTTATGAGGGCTTCAAAAGAACTTTCAATCATATGAAAAAGGATGCTAGGATTTCTGTAGTCTGAGCATCCTAAACTAGAAAACTTCATTTTTCTGCCCTACTTCATAGCATGTGTCCATGTACACGCGCATGCGCGCGCACACACACACACACACACACACACACACACACACACACCCTTTGTTCTTCATTCTTTCTCATTGGATCTTTTTATTTTATTTTGTCAGTCATAGGACTTAAACTCACAGCCTGGGTGTTGTCCCTGAGCTTTTTCACTCAAAGCTAGTTCTCTACCAACTGAACCACAGATCCACTTTTGGCTTTTGAGTGATTCATTGGAGATCAGAGTCTCATGGAATAATCTCCAGAGTTTCAAGGACTTTTCTGCCCACTCCAGCTTCAAACTGTGATCCTCAGATCTCAGCCTCCTGAGTAGCTAGGATGACAGCCGTGAGCCACCAGAGCCTGGCTACCTTGCTTTCTTAATGATCTGGTTTGTTTTTTAGAACTGGTATAGGGAATATTTGAAGGTATTCCTTTTTCCTTGGGATTTTAACCCTAACAAGTTTCTAAGTGTACCATTTAGGTAAAGAAATGGCCAAGAGTAAAAAACATGAGTTAGCAGTACCGGTGTTCTTTTTACCACTGTGAATAAAACTGGATTTCATAAGCCTATAGAGGCTATGAAGAGATTCTCGCATCATAGACAGTGTTACCTGGCATGTGAAAAATGAATTGTACAAAGGAGGAGGTAGGAAGAGGAGCAAAAAGATTCTAGAGGTTTGGAAGAAAACAGTTTTCGTGGACAGGTTGAAAAGGTTCAGTTTCTGCATAAATAGATAAGGTAGGGAGTTCACAGGCCAGAGTAATCGGAAAACAACTTGAAAAGAGGCAGCAGGAATATTTACAGCTCTAATAAGAAAACACGCATTAAGCAGTAACAGGTCTGAAGCTAGGAAATGTTTAATCACAAAATGTGGATGGTGTCCTCAAGAGGCAGTTCTGTTCTCTGGAGTTGATGAGGTGCAGCCTTGTAGGAAACAAAAGACATAAGCTGAACAAAATGAGGATGTTAGAAAACCTGAGCGCTATCGCTCAATCACGAAATCCACGTGCATGAGAATTCATTAACATGGAAACCTCATCAAAGCAATTTGATACCTTCCTTAATTTAAGGACAAATGGAGGGAGGGAAGGAGAGGGGGAAAGGGGGAGAGAACACATATCCATAGAGACGTAGGTCTTTTGTACCACATTATAAGGTCTGCTTTAGGATAAATGTGGGGGGCGGAAGAGACAAGAGTCATCATTCCATACACTTCACAGGAGCCATGTGACTGATCAAAGACTCGCGGCTCCGACAGAAAAAGAAATGGGAAGTCGTGACCTACTGCTGACCAATTAGGCAACTGTGCAGACAGGCTGACACTTGACCTGGTGGCAAGGTCATTTCCAACCTTGGAAGTAAATAAACATTCCAGAGAACACAAAGCTAACAGAAATGCCCTCGCTGTCCGTGGAAGTAGGACCCGTGGACAAAAAAGACATCTGAGAAAGATGCATTTATTAAAGAGCTGTCAACAGACCTCACATGTGTAGGGGTATTTGACCAATTATGGAAAACGATAAGTAGTCACCATAGTAATTTTAAATGGCCAATGATTCATTAGTATGGAACTGCCTGTCAACAAACCTCAAAGGGCATGTCATTAGCATGACATCAGAAACTAGGCACAAACAGCCAGTACTGAAAGCCATGTTTCCAGAATCATGTACGAAAGTTCACAGGATTTCCTGCCTCCCCCCCCACTGCAGAACTGTGGTGGAAATAGATGGTTATTGAAAATGAATACTTTTTCTACTTTGTTGCTTTATTTATAAAGAGACATATATGTCTTTGAAATGCGTATCTTGAAAACATTTTTTATTTTATTTTAAACAACAGCCAAGTGGACACAAGGTCTTCTTCATCTAAAACAAAAATGGGAAGATTTACTTCCAACACATGCTAGGGTCCGGGGCCCTGGTAAAAGTCATTCAATATTTGGACACCAGTGCCTCATGCCTATACTACTCAGGAGATTGGACGATCCGGTTCAAAGCCAGCCTGGGCAGGAAAGTCGGTGTGACTCTCATCTCCAATGAGTTTAAAAAATAAAAATAAAAGCTGGAAGTGGAGCTAAGGCTCAAGCGGCAGAGTGCTAGCTTTGAACAAAAAAGCTCAGGGACAGTGCCCAGCCACACCCTGAATTCAAGCCACAGGACCAACACACACACACACACACACAGTCATTCAACAACCCTGAACTCAGTCAACAGATAATACACATACATTTTATTCTTTTAATTAGATTACCCCCACAGGAATATTTTCTTAAAAGCTCTCTGGAACTGAGAAAATGGGGATACTTTCTAAAAGTATTTTCCATGACCTATCTTAAAACTGTTTTGACCAGTGTGACTTTGTGGAATATTTTTCAATCAATTTTTCACGGGCACAAAGGGTCCATGATTTAAATTGTCTGTCTTCTGCTCAAAGGCTGTATCTGAAATACTTTGGAAGGTTCCATTAAACCCTCCTCTTCTTGGTCCCAGCACGCTGATAGGATGCCAGTTTGTCCCCAGCTCAGGGTGCACTCCCAGAACTGAACGCTGCTTGGGCATGGCTGTGGCTTCTTTACAGATGTGTGCAGAGCTTGAAGACCACACTCATTCCTTGTTACGTGGAGAGAAAGCACTTCTGCTTCACCACAGAAACCACACTGTACCAAGAGCACTACCATGGAGCCAACCTAAGAGCTACCACACCAGCGCCCACCCTGAGGACCACCGGGAGGCCTGAAGAACATCTAGGGAGAAGAGAGCCTGACTCTGTAAATGTTTCCCCTTTGTTGGCACAAGCTGGGGGCACCACTGGCTGGGCATGAAGAAGCATCATTGGAAGTACTGAATGCTAGGGAGCGTCAGCTGGGCTATGAGTTCTTAGTGGGTGTTGAAGCACTTGAGACAAGGCTACTGTGAACCTTGGGAAACTTAAACCAGTCCTGTCCAGATCCAGGACCTTTGGAAGTTTAGGATTTGATATAGGCATCTGCTCCCAGCCCTTAGGACTGAAGGATGGTGGTTTATACACAGCAAGAGACCAGACAGATGAGTAAACACACACTTGTGCATTCCCAGAAGGATGGGGCCCTCAAATCTCCACAACCACAAGCCAAATCAACCTCTTTTCTCTACAGAGTGACTCCTACATCAAGCCAGATGGAAACAAGGCCACGCGTGATCTGCAGAGCACAGCGGAGACCCCAGCTTCTGCAAGTCACCTGCCTGTGAGCGCGGAATCTGCTGACCCTTCCAGAGACACTGAAATGATCCAAGGCGCGGAGGGCATCCCCAATGACTCCACTCTTCGATTCTGGAAATAGGGGAGAGAGGGGAGAGGGGGACCTCAGAAGAACGTCTTACAAATACAACAATAACAGACATGGAGTCCAAGGAGCCTGAAATTAGAATTCTGCAAAGAAACTTCTTGACGGTTCATTCAACCCCATATCAGAAAGTTCAGAACCATACCACACGGCACAGCATTTGTGATCTTACGTGCTTTTCCTTGTTCTATAAAAAGACCACTTCAGAGAAGGGAAGATTTCAGAGAAGACAGGAGAGGCAGGCTTTATGAATGGGTTCCAAGTGGAAAACGGCTGACTTTCCCTTTCACCTTGGATAAATAAACCTTGATCGTTCATGGAAAATGGAGGAAAGGCAGATTGTGATGTGCCAAGAAAAAGAAAGACAAACATCGGGAGACAGGCTAAGTGTAGCCGATTCCGCAGTGGTCACTCTGGAAAAGTGTGCTCGTGACAGCCTAAGGTCTGTGCTGCAGAACTGTCCGTGACAGTTGCTCACCTGCCTGTCCAGTACAACAAGCCGAGGCTGCACCGCTAGCTTCTTCCCCACTTCTCCATCCGAAGGCTGCACCAGGACAGAAAGCGCATAGGGCCGAACATACACGCTGCTCCCAGGTCCCGGGCTGCTGGCATTTCTGGCAGACATAAAGACAAAACAGAGCCATGGGATCATACATGTCATTGCAGACTCATTTTCCATGGGACATCATTACCACTGGAAATATGTGTGAGGGCAATTACATACGTTTCTAGAAGCCTCATAAAAGTCTGCGTAACAAAATAATTATATATTGGTTATATGAATGGCATCTTTTATATTTTTGTTGGGTAATAATAAGAATAGATGAAGTAGGCTGTGGAAAATCTTAAACTCTGAATTTATGTTTTGCTCGCTTTGTGTTAAGACCAGCCATAAAAAAAATCTCAGAAAATTATCAAACTAAAATCTTTAGAGGGTAGACATCTGTTTATTAGTATACTATGAAATGCTCCCAGAAAAAAAACTCCCCTACTTTGTACTCTGTTCCAATTCCTCTGGTGTAAAGAACCCCACTGTAGCCAGCTTCACAGCTCCAAGATGGCGCTGGAGACACAAGTAGGGAGAGATGGCTGGAAGCACACTCTCTTACATACTTAATCATCACAGTAGCCATCTCCTCTGCTATATTCTTTGATGGTTGCTGCACTAAGTGGCTCAAACAACTGTGGTGTTCAATGATTCATTTACTTGCAAGAAGCACTGTGAAGAAAACACTTATATAGGGTATTTAATGAGCATTAACTGTATACTATATATAGTAGCATAGATGTTCCAGGCATAAACTCACTGTATTACTTAAGCTAATACCATGAGATAGGTCCATGTTTACTCATATCGATCGTACGAGGTAGTAAAAGACTTATGAAACTTGCCCCAGGTCTTACAAATAGTTAACTACAGACCCAAGTCCTAAGTGGTTAACCAAGGAGCCGTATTGTTTTGGGGTTAATTTAAAGGATGTTAGCTGCTAAACTTAGCACTAAAATAGGTACTTAATTCATAACTCCAAGCATCTTTTTTTTTTTTTTTTGGTTGGTTGTAGGGCCTGAACTCTGGTCCTGGGCGCTGTCCCTCAGTTCTTCAGCTCAAGGCTAGCGCTCTACCACTTGAGCCACAGCACCACTTCCGGCTTTTTCTGCTTATATGGTGCTGAGGAATCGAACCCAAGGCGTCATGCATGCAAGGCAAGCATTCTACCACTGAGCCACCTTCCCAGCCCCACAAACCATCTTTTACCCAGAGTTTTGGTGTATTGGTTCATGGAGCAAACTTTATTAAAATAACATTACACAGTTAGTGTTGCATCAAACCTGTTATGTATCATACACCATAGAAATGTAGTTGCACTGGGTAATTACAAAGATATATTTAGATCTCATGTCTTATAAGTTGGTGGCTTATTCTCAAAAATGCCTTGGTCAGTTTAACAATGCTTCTGCTGAAAAAATAAATAAAAAAACCAGTAGCCTACCCTGGCTCCAATTAAATATTTGTAAAGGAGAGATAATAATACTTATTCATCATGGATGGTTTACATCAGGTAAACATGGAGATTAATCCTGCAAGAGGAATTAATGGAAGAACAAGCAGAATGCACTGTAAAACAAGAAGTTTCCAGAATACTTGCCCTGTGCCCTGGAAATTGCAGGAAGTAGGGGTGGAGCGGGAATGCGTGGTTTCAGAACCCCTTTGGGCCATCTATCGGCTGAACCCCAACTTCTGTGCTCAGACCACGATGTGCAGCTTCACCCCGGACCTCCTCAACCATCCTTTATTAGTTGGCTTAGCCTAAGTGGCCAGGCTTCTTTTCACATTTTTTTTTTTTGGGTCTGGTCGTGGGGCCTGAACTCTGGGCCTGGGCGCTGTCCCTCAGCTCTTCAGCTCAAGGCTAGCGCTCTACCACTTGAGCCACAGCACCACTTCCGGTTTATTTTTTTCTTTTTGCTTATGTGGTGCTGAGAAATCGAACCCAGGGCCTCAGGCATGCAAGGCAAGTACTCTACCACTGAGCCACCTTCCCAGCCCCTTCTTTTCACATTTTAAAGGGAACAATTCAAGACAGATTGCTAACGATCCCACACTAATAATTCTGCCTTGCTGTGAGTCCTGGCTTATTGGAAAAACTCAATATTCTTACCAGATCCCAGTTCTCTCTCTCCTACACTGGTCTTTAACAACAACAGAAATTCTTTTGTAGATGAGGGGTAGGTACAGACATGCCAACAGCCTGGGTTAAAGAAACTGAAAGGCCATGAAAGAATCTGACATGAGTTCATTGACAGCTAGAGAGGAAAGGATGGAAAACAACTGCCCTGACACACTTTCAGGTTTATTGTGAGCAAACAGCTCTTATTACATGTAAACAGCCTCTCACTGGAGGGCAGGGACTGCTGCACAGCGTCTCCCAAGGTAATACCACTTTAAGCTCCACATAAACTCTTAAACACTTTCTATCCTAAAACCTGACCGTAGGTGGTACAGTTTTTTACGATATGTTATAATAGTGCAATAAATCTGTTAGCTTAAAATCGAATCTCCGTGGCCTTTTAGAGAAATCATCATTAAATGCAGGGTCCTGTTAATGATGCCATCCAAGTGAAATTGTTTAATCTGCTGAGGGGGTGAAAGGTCACCAAATGAATTTTTTATAATACATCAACTTGACACGCAATAGGGAAAACTGTAATAGATAAAAGCAAAGGAAAAGGGCACCGTCTTCTCCTGATAGGTCAATAGCAGCCAAGAGAGTCACTCATCCACTTTCCTTTCACGATGGGGCTCCTTTTGCATTTAATATGGACACCCAATTAATACCTCAGCGCCACAGACAACCTCATTTTAGGTGACTTATAGCAATTTCTCCCCCTTCCCTGAGATGAAACTGATCACAATACATCATAGCATTGTGCGAATTAACGTTAATTGATTCAAGTTACCGAGCAATGATGGGCCACTTATATAATCTAGGCGTTATTGGGTGCTAGGAGGGATGGAGGGAAGATTAGATTCCAGTGTCCGTTGCTGTGACGACCGGAGTCACCTGACGCCTTGTTAGACACTTGTAAGGTTCTATTGCTGGCCCCAGTGGGGTCGTCAGTAAACCGGAGTGATGTCCAAACATCATTACACGCTGCTCCAATATTAAAGCAAAGGGATTAGCAACTTATTGCAAGCAACCTGGATTTGTCATTGTGCTGTAGTTATCCAATTTCCAACTGCTAATGTGACTGTAGCCTGCAGGCAGAAGGACCTACCGCCAAACTTTAAAGAATGGGGGAGGAAACTTCCCTCCTCCATCCCTTCCAGGTTTAACCACTGTTTAACAGCTTCGAATCCCCACTCGGTGATGTGAAAGAATGTTTTCCCCCTTCCAGTGCTTAAGTGAAAGATAAAGAAGAAAGGTCAAGAGAGTATGAGATTTCCCAGCTCAGAGATCACTACTATTCATTTCCAGTCCTTGCGTTCAAATCTACCAGATCTGCGGTGTTTCCCCTGCAGAGGCTGGAGTATTACATGTCACAGTCCAACACCAAGCAAAGACATCCTATTGATCTTCTCAGTTCCATCCTGCTGTTCTGGGTTGCGAGTACAGTGGTGGAGGTTAGAGAGACTGACTGTCTCAACCTTCTCCCCAAAGCCATGAGCCAGGTTCTATAAAAGAACCTCATGTTTGGATTGCATGCTTCAAAGTGTCCTAACCATTGTGGGCTCTCTCTTGTTTTAAATAAGATAAATAGGGGAGCATGGTGTATATGGGCCATGAGGTGACCTGAATTCGAAAGGAAATTTATACCTTGGAATAAAATGAGTTCCCTAGTCAACTGCGGCGGACAAACTTTTGTCATCCCTCTTAGTATGTACAAACACAAACACTGCTCAAGGCACTAAGAGACAAGCAAAGCCAAAATACCAGGCCTTCCCCCAAGGGGTGCTTCCGTGAGGTATAAGGCAAGAATGAACATCCTGGCTCTCTTCCCGAGTGGGTGTACAGTCCTTCACTTACATTTCATAGTCCTCATGGCTCCTAATTGGGCCTAATCAGCTTCTCTTCAAGCCTGTCCATGATGGATGGAAGGCATGCCATGGGATCGGATAGCTTCCTCTGGCAATACAGTCTAATAGTTTTAAGTTTGGTGCGTTACAAGACTCCAATGCATTTTGCAATCATAATAACACTTGGCCTCGTCAGCATTCTGCATGCTCACCCTCTGCTTGAAGGCCACTGATTGTCTCTGTAGAAGTGCTGCCTTGGCCTGACCAACAGTAAGTTCTGGTGCAGATCTGAGCAGGTTGCTACAGCTTACCGTCATATTTATGACCAAGTTCATGAGATTTCTGAAAACTATTATAAATTGAGTTTGAGGACCTATATTTGTAGGTTTCAGTGGGTCAGAAATGGGTAGAGAAAGAAAGAATATGGCACATCTCCCACAATATCAACTAAATGCAAAAGTTGGGAGGATGGGAATTTTTAATTCATAAGTCATTTAAAATAATGTCTAGCATGAATATTTTATGAAAGAGAATGGAAACTATACATATGTATATATACATAATTTTTGTTATCTTTATGTAGTTGTATACAAGAATTGCCACTCAACAAAGCAACTTATGAATATAATCTGACTATAATTTTTAAGACTGTATACAAATAGTCAGATTTTCTGGTTTCTGCTGATTGAGCTATAACAGTCATAATCTGGCAAAAAGGAAACAGAAACCACTCAAGGCTTTGCTGGAAGAAGAATTCAATTGGTTACACAGGAAAAAGAACTAACAAATTACATTTTAATATTCAATAAACGTTGGTCATTTACTGTGAGTGAAACATGTTCAGGCAACTTAGGAATACAATGATAAGTTGGACTTTTACCAATTACTATGTAGACAAAAAATATTCATATTATTTTTTATGAAAACTAGACTTATTGTTAAGGTAGCTCATACTGAATCACTTCCTTGGAATGAGATTGGCTATAACATATTCCCATTAAATACTTGAATTAATATTGCTTTTACGTATGCAATCACTTAAAATGTTCTAGACATTCATAGGAGCCAGATAACAATATTTGCATATACTATTTTCATAAC